TTCATCAAACCAGATAAATATTAAGATGAAGCTATCCCATTATGCCATTGGTTCTAAATACGCATCTTACTTTTTAAATTTTCATTTTTTATTTTCTCAATACTGTGATGGACTTGCGACCCGTCCAGGGTGTACCCCGCCCCTCACACAGTGATTGCTGGACATGGGCACCAGCGACCCCCGTGACCCAAAATGGAATAAACGGGTAAAGAAAATGGATGGATGGATGGATTTTCTCAATAAAAATATGTCCTTTGGTTCATAAGATATTTTTCTAACAGACAGACAGTGCTGACTTTAAATCATTATCAATATTTTAATCTAAGCAGTTGTGCAAGAGGTGGCACTTGGATAATGTGTTAGGGATCACTTCCAGCTTCTATACACAATGTTGGCTGTGGCTGAGCGGTTAGAGCAGTCGTCCTCCAATGCAAGAGTTGGGGGTTCGATTCCACCGGCAGTCACATGCCGAAGTGTCCCTGGGCAAGACACTGAACCCCTCATTACCTCCGATGTGTGTCCCGTTGGTGTATGAATGTAACAAAGCTCTGATTACTCTTTGTAGAGATCTAGTATAGAGCTGTATGAATGGGTAAATGAGGCACAGATTGTTGTGTAAAGAGCTTTGAGGATCTTGATCAGATAGGAAGGTGATATATAAGTACGTTCCATTTACCATGTGTACAATTGACCAAAGTATAAATATGTTTGTGTTTAATGAGGCCAGGATCTGTTGAAGCGATATTAAAATGGAATGACACATTAAATTATTCAGATAGAGATAAACACCCAATGATTACTTTTGGAAAGTTTTACTGAAATATCATCAGCGGGTCCTGAAACATTTTCATAACAGACCAAGTTGATGCCAATATTCAATGCCAAAGTAAAAATAATAATAATAATAATTTCCTACAATTTTGTTGCACTTTTTGTACAAAGTACATGCTAAGGATTACCTCCAGTGACAGCAACAACACATTTTAGCTTAAAATCCCTAAATAAATAAAAATAAAATATAAACTCTGAACAAACAGCAAAGTCAAGTGACCTCAGCAGACAATGGCCATGATTTAGTTGTTAGTAGTTCATGAGATGCTTTTCTTACAAGGCAGACACACGGTCACATGCACACAGACAAATACTATCCCACTCTTCTTTCCGTTGCCTGTTTGTGGCGCGTAATATTAACACACTTCCTAATAATAGAAGAGCGCTGAAAGTGGAGGCGATAACTTTCCTGTTACATTCATCTATTTTCATCACTTGCTTCTCATTTACGGGTAGCTGGTGATTCATTCCAGCAGTCATTCTGTGAGAGGCCCATGGACTGGAC